AAAAGAAAGCAAATGCAACAAAATCGATACCCGACTACGTTTTCTGAGCTAACATTCGCCGGCATATGTTTGTGTGTGTGTCTATGCGCTCGGATGTGTGTGCATGTGTGCGTTCATTAAACATATGTTTGTGTGCATGTGTTTGCGCATGCTTTTTGATTAGGATCTGTCTGTCCACTCTCTTGCACGCTGCGGATCTGATTTGTGTTTTTTTTCGATGTCTGTTTGCATGTGTGTGCAGGTTTCCTGTCTCAGCTGGTACAGGATAAGACCTTTGAGCAGTGCATCCACGCTGGACACTACTCTGCTAACGTCATTATTCGCCACGCAGGCTGCACATTCCCAGAAAAGCCAGACTTCCACTGATGGGCCACTGAGAGACCGGAAGATACGGCCGTCCGAGTGTTTTATAGGACTAATGCCTTTTTTTAATTGACTTTTTAATCTTCTGTTCCTCTTTCCTCTCTTGTTCACTGCCTGCCTTCTGCTGTGCCTCTGTTGTCTCACAGCCTAATACGATCACAGAGACATATTTCACATTAAAAACTGTTTACAAAAGAGGCAAAAGAGGAATTTCTGTTGGAAATATTGATTTGTTTTTACTAAAGCCATTTTCGTATCACGGTTAAGAGTGATGATCATAACCAGCATCTTTCCAGATGTGGTGTTTGCTAACAAAATTTATTTTAGTCGTAATTAGCTATAAAAACTGAAGCCAATATTGCAAACATACAGAAGCCGGATGAATCATTTGAGCTTTTTTGAAATCAAAGGCTCGTTTTATCTCAGAGAAATTTTGTTGGCCAGTCTTCCTGTTGTAAACCAAATGTATTTGTGGGAAACACTTAAATGCCAAAATAAACAAAAAAGGCTGTATTACTGCTGTCACTTGTATTCTCTTCCTAACCTTATAAATGGGCAAAATGGGTGTTTATTGCTTGAAATGTGTTATATTGTGCATTATCGGTTTTTGTTAGGCAGAGATTTTAGACTCCATTTTTGGTCTATTTTACTCTCTCAACTTCTGTGTCCTACTGGATGGGTAGAAAGCCTCCAGCTTCTGCCTGTCCTCTTGATGACAGTGGCAGGTCTGCATTGGTTCATCTCTCTGATATGGGATGAGGAGTAGCTATTTGTGAGCATCATTAGAGAGACTCAAGGTACAGCTGACCCTTTGTCCCCGTGTGTGACAGCAATCATAGCAGATTCGGGTTCTGTCGCTGACAAACCCGGTTGGGCCCTGGCATCACTGAGCACACGGTTTTAAACAAGGACAAAGTCCTTGAGCACTATTTCACATTTTCAGCTCACACACAGTCACGCTTGTGTTTTTTCCTCTTCTCTAATCCTCCCGCTGTGTGTTTTACAATGATGCTGGGTGTTTTTAAGACCTGCGAAAGTTGCCTGTGAGGTTTATAAAATGCAAGTTGATTCACAGGTGTGTTGCTGTTGGACAACATTTCAGTCAGTAGGTATAGAAGAACAAAGTCAAGCAAGAAGTAAACACAGTTGTGTTTCTGATATAGTTGAAATTTTGGTTCCTCTTTATATTAGGTGTATGTACTTACAGTACATTAAAAAGATTAATTATGTACAATGTACTTGCGTTCATGTTGTATTGCAAAACTTTTGCTGCTATTGAGGTGGGATATGGTTAAGGTTAGGGGACAGATTTAGTGGTATGGGTAGGTTTGAGGGCGAGTTGTATTGTATAAAGCACTATATAAATGTGACTTGCTTTAAGGAGTAGGTTAAGGTCAACTGTGTAATTACAGATTTATTAACAATTTAATTACAACTAATTACATTCAGGTACGATTTAAATACAGGTGCAATGTAAATACATGTATCTACACAATAAATGCACTGTATAGTTGTTAAAGGCACTTGATATAAAGTGGGTCTGAATTTTTTATTTAACTTCAAACTGGATATCTCTAATCAGCTAAATCTATAATTTTAGAAAACACTTACACAAAAGTTTTCAATACATGACTTGCTATAAGTGTGTTATCTCATTAAAAATGACCAATGACTTATCATTTTAGTTGAAAAGCAACAGGCACTGTATATTTAAAACAATGAATCAGACCAGCTACTGTGTGACCTCATTTAAAGTTTATTCATTTCATAATGATTGATGCTTAATATGCTTACAGCTATTTGATTTGGTTTGGTCCACTATAATAGCAAATGTTGTATTTATATTATTTAAAAGAAGAAAACCCATCTAGACAACAATCTAGGAAATTGATCGTCTTTGCTTAGTTGGCACATTCAACACAGTTGTATTTTTGTGGTTAGAAAAGTGCACCAGTATCTGGAAGGTCATCAGTCTGAGCTAATCTACTTACCCTAGTGCTGTTATACCCTTGTGCAGGGAATTTATCCTGCCTCTGTCTGAATGCGAATATGACTATGCCAGTGGTTGAAATATGCAAACATGAATAATTCCAATGTATCTGTGTAACTTGTAAACAAATTAACCTTCCCTTTTGGCATACAAATAAGTAACACTGAATTGCAATAGCCACACACATTACAGTGCTAAAAAAGGGGGTCTTGGGATGAAAATGATGCCAGTTATCACCTGTGAAGTGACAGGTATCGTTATGATCCAATGCAGCTGATCAAAAACAACAATGCCTAGTGGTAACTTTAAAATAAAAACGTCATATACAAAACTAAAAAGTGGATCCAACTGAAAGCAGTGTAATTATATTAACACAGTGTTAAGTGATGTGTTAGTATATCACACCCAGACCAGCTGCCATAAGTAGCTCAACCTGGTGTTTCAAAAAAGACAACTGAAGACAATCCTTTGGTGTCAAATCACCTTGATCAGGATTTGCTGGAAGCCAGTATGCAGGCTTTTGCCAAACTGTAACCACATCCCACATGGCTCAAGTTTTAGTGTGCAATTTGTTTTCCTCTCAGGCACAGTAAAAAAGTAACATGTCCATGGTTCAGATTGCTCTGCAACACCAAATTTTCACCACAGGGCGAACCCATGGGCTTTCAGGTGCAGTTGAAAACTATCAGTGGGTTTTGTTGCATATTTTGTTATTAAATGTTTTCAATTTACTCTGATTATGTTGTTCCAACTGTGGTGTAGCACATTTGGCTGTATTTAATTGATGCTGGTATTTATATTGCAAACAAACATCAATTACATGTGCAACACCTTCTGAGCAATTAAAAAGTGATGTATAATTAAACGGTGTGAAACTTTTATTATAATTATGCATATATGCGTGTATTCATATGAAATTGATCTGTGTTGGGCGATCTTACTAGTTTCATTGTGACACTTACTAGTGTCTCTTTTTCCCCATACAGTTTAAAATCTCGCATGATTGCGCGTGCTGACTTGGAGACGATTTTGCACGCATACATTCAAATCCCAATAAGTGATATTAAAAGTTTCCTTTTCCGCTTCACAGACAGGGCACATTATGTCTCCTCTTTTCCCACCCATGCCATGTAGTCTGAAACAATGTACATTGTTTCCCAATGAGCGATGTGATGTCACATAGCGGTTACAGCGAGTTAGTCCTCCTCTGTGGCTGATGGAGTGCCGAAAGGGGAGGGTACTACTTTGTCACAGACTCCTATGTAGATTAACCTTTCAATTAGTTGTTATCAGGTTCCCTCTGCCTACGCCTGCGTTCATCTTCCGAATTAAACAGGACCCCATTGGATTTATCAGGCTACTTTACGCATAAATAAGCGTGTTTTTATTGCTTATACGTGGAGCGTGGAGAGATCGTGCGAGGAACTTAAAGGTAAATGTTCGCTTTGCCAGCGTTGTCGGGCATTTATCTCGGCGGTGTCTTGTTGTCGGTGGCATGTTTTAATCGTTCAAGTTTAAGTTGTCGTGAGTGATGTAACTTGACGCAAACGGAGAAATTAATTCGGGTTATTGGGTTACGCGAACCGCGCAAGTATCGCAATCTGCTGCTTGACCCGCATAAATGGAATTTTCCAGATGCTCTCTGTTCTCAGTTGCTTGATCTTGAAATATGAGTGCATTTTGCATGCTTTAGACCGAAGCGCATAAACCAACAGCAGCATCATCGCTGCTTTTTAGTGTTTCAGAATAACGGGAGAAATTATATGCCATGATCCGTTTAAGCATTCGCAGGATTTATAAATGTTGCCTATTTGCGTGCACCGCACATTCGTGAGGACGTGCGCGTTCGATAGTTCATGGCCTCCCGTGTCTTTTGTAAAGTGCAAACTAATTATTAGCTATAGCTACTAGATTACAGTGCACACAGTACGGGGAATGCCAGGGATAACTAGAGTACTTGGACCAATTATTCACCATTACATTATTCTCCAAAAAGTGTGACTAGGTCGATCTGCTTATATTGCAGTGTTGTGCGATGCTCATTAGGGGGAGCCTTCTTAAAGGTGTAGAGCGAGTTTCGGCTGATTTTATATTTAAAGAGCCATCAAGTAGTTTTAAACTCATTACATGATGATAAAATATTCCCGCTATCCCTGGTAACTGTTTTTTTCTAATGTGGACAGAATAGCAGGTATCGCATTCCATACGCAGTACGGACTAAAGAGCAGTTGACAACTTAAAGGGGTAGTTTGTTTAAATATGAAGATATTGTCATTTTTTGCTCCTCCTGTTGTAATAATCCCGAATGACTAAACAATTAGATGATATGCAGAATGACAGGCTTCAGTTACTGTTCACTTTTATTGAATGTTAAAAATCACACTGAAAGAAAATAATGATTGAGGCTGTCAGTTCTTCACTTTCTGCTTCATGTCTCAATTTGTGCTCCACGGAAGAAAGAAAGTCATAGAGGTTTGGAAAAACATGAGAGTGAGTAAATGATGACAGAATGTTCAGCGGTGTTGAGCTGTCCCTTTAAGAGGCGGGTCAAGTGATTATTGACAGATTATGAAGCCAACCGATTCCTCGAGAGGCCGAACTGTTTTCTTGTGATTGACACTTTGGTTATCAAACCAGGGATAAGTATTTGCCCTTTCTAACCAATATTAAAGTTTCTTGGGCGGGACCGTCTTTGTGAAGGTAAGGTTTAATGAGACTCCATTGGGTTGTAATCAGTGCCATGTCGGATTCATGTAAACTACAACATTGTAACAAAATGGCGTCTGTTTAGTAACGCGACCGGGCAAAGCGGCGAAGTCACCTGACCTGTCCACCGTATTAAAGCGTCCAGAAAACAAGGTTTGCGAGACCGTGGGTTAATTGACATATTGACTTTGTCATCATAAATTATAGATAGTCATCTGTCGGAAGTAGTCATAAAGCATAACCTAATTTAGCCAGCTTTAGCTTAGCGTGCTAGACTTGAGCTCCGGGGCTGTTTAGAAAGCCGATGCTGGAGATAAGAAGCCGAATGCTTTTGAGATTCGCCTGACTTTAGCTCACTATCTCGGCTTTAAGCAGAGGACTCGAGCTGAAGTACGAATGTCAGTACGCGTTTGTGATACGGTGTTTTATTTTAGCTGTCACCATTGCAGATGATGTTGCTAGACTCTTAATGTGAAATGTCATGGCCAAGTCGTAGTTTGTGACCAAAACTGGAAGAGTGTAGACGAGATTTAAAATGGATTAAATAAGTGTCAAATCTTAAACAACGCTGTATGTTGTGTTTTTAAGTTTGAGTTGAACACCCAAAATGAGTGGGTGTCAGTTGATAAATAAGACTTTGTTTTACCATCAGTTGTCTTGTTTTTGTATGTTCTTCTAACACTCTGTGTGCTGTCATGCCTTCGCGGTTAAACTCGAGTTATTTGGTGGTTATTTAGCTGGCTAACCAAGTTGCGTCGTTCAATTATTTACCGTAGCTTTTCTTGGATCTGTTTAGGCCGGATCTAATGTCTCAGAGGAATGGGTCAAGTGTTCCCCTCAGAATGTTTGCGAGGCTTTTTATATAACAATATTATGGCAGATAAGTTGTGTGGTTGAGTTTACACGGCTGCTGCTGGCGAGCGGACTCGGAGGGATTCTTGAGAAATTGTTCAATGCATGTCACCTGCTGGCTGCTCGCAGCACTGTTCTTCCCCTCCTTATGCTGTTTGAGTTTTTACACTATCATAAATCAATGAGCTTAATAAAAATGTTATCCATGGTGTACTGTGTTTTAGCTTGTAGCTAAATGTAAAAAAAAATAATTATGAAAAATATGTATGTGT